CATTATCTATCCCAGATGTTGCATTTCTGGTTTCTTCCTTACCACCACCTCTTCTGTTACTTGGCGATTTTAATGCTCACCATTTCCTCTGGGGGGTCTTACTGTGACCCACTTGGAGGCTTTTCTCACTTCTCTCCTCCTTCATGTCTTAAATACGGGTACTCCCACTCATTTTGATCCTTGTACTCAATCTCTCTTGCATCGATCTCTCGGTTTGCTCTTCCTCAACTGCACTAGACTTTACCCAGTGTGTCCTCCCGGACTTGCATGACAGTGATCATTTTCCAGTCATCCTTACTTCTCATTCGTACTCACCACCTCTTCGCAGCCCACGCTGGCAATTTGACCGAGCGAACTGGGGCCTTTACTCACGTCAAACTGCTTTAGTGAGGATCCTTTTTTTTGTCCTCCATTGCAGTTTTAACTGCAGCTTCACATTCAATCCCCCAAACCTTTGGCAGGCATTGTCAGAGGTGCGTGCCTTGGTGGTCTCCTGCCTGTGTTCATGCGGTACATTTGAAACACGCTGCATGGGGCAGATATTGGTACAACAGAACCACAGAGCTCCTTGATTTTAAGCAGACGAGAGCAGCCGCCCACTGTGTCATCCGTGAAGCTAAATGCACTCGTTGGCGGGTTTATGTTTCTGCCGTCAATTCGGCTTCCTCTATGAGTGCAGTCTGGAATAAAGTATGGAAACTGAGTGGCAAATACACTCCCTACCCATCTCCCATCCTTCGTGTTGCCAGTGTCGCTATAGCAAACCCTCTTGACGTTGCCAATGAACTCAGTCATCATCTTGTCCGTAGCTCCATCTCTGCCCCTCGTTTCTTTCCTCCAAGTCTGCCAGAGAGTTCGAGCCCTTAAACTTTTCTTATATCAGAGAAAAATCTTACATGTCTTTTACACTTCTGGAACTAGAGGCAACACTCTCCGCTTGCCGATCATCGGCAGCTGGGCCTGACGGCATTCATATTTGTATGCTCCAGCATTTACATCAGTCAGCCCTTGCGGTCCTCTTACGTCTCTTTAATCGTATTCGGTCGCGAGGAGTTTTGCCCCAGCTGTGGAAATCTGCCATTGTTCTACCCTTCCGCAAACCAGGTACTATGGGACATGATGCTCCCACTACCGTCCCATTGCTCTTCCCAGTGTAGTTTGCAAAGTGTTGGAACGTCTGGGAAATAGACGTTTGGTGTGGTATTTAGAGACAATAGTCTCTCCACCTATCAATATGGCTTTTGTAAGGGCTGTTCTACCATTGACCCCTTACTATGCTTGGATATGTATGTAGGTAATGCTTTTGCTAATAACCCCTCGGTTATTGCCATCTTTTTTTTGACCTCGAGAAGGTATATGACACAACTTGGAGGTATAACATCTTGGCCCAGGCCCACTCCTTAGAACTTAGAGGCAATCTACCATTTTTCCTTACGAACTTCTTAATTGAAAGACATTTCCGTGTTCGGGTTAATATACTTTCCCCGGACTTTGTTCAAGCTGAAGGTGTCCCTCAGGGATGTGTTCTGAGCACAACACTTTTTCTCCTTGCTATAAATGATTTGGCATCTATTCTTCCATCTAATATTTGGTCATCACTCTATGTTGACGACTTTTCTATAGCTTGTGCAGGCGCTGACTGTCACCTCATTGCAGTTTCTCTCCAGATTTTTAGATTTAGATTTTGCCACCGAAGTGGCTAGTTTATTGTGCACCCCATATCCATCCTGTGGACGGTAGAGCAAGAGCATATGGATACACAAAAGGCCTAGGAACTAGGCCCCAAAAGGGTTAACAAGTGTATATGGGTTTATATCTACATATCTACAGTTCACTTATTTGTTACAAGCAAATTTAGGAAATTTGCTTAGTATATCTAGTATCTTATTTTCATTAATAATCTTGACATGTCACATACGATATTATACTGTCTGTCTCTGTATTCCTCAGTAAGTGGACAATTAAGCATATAGTGTTCAAGGCAGTGACCATATGCCTGATCACATAATTTGCATTTAGTTTGATCATCGTCTGTGTGTCTCCCAAACTGCCAGAAGTACTTGTAACCAAGCCTAAGCCAGACCACTACAACATCAGTCAGTCTGTTCACACTGCAAGTTGCTCCATAAACATACTTATCTACGTTCATGTTATCATAGTGGGTTATAGATCTACTCAGACTTCTAACTGCATTCCTATAACATTCATTTTCATTATTTACTTCTCCTAATATTATTCCTAATGCTAGACACAGATATACCAAAGTTATATTCTACATTCTCCTTCTGGGTACTCTTCTTGGCTAACATATCAACTTTATCATGAAGGAATAACCCAATGTGTGATAGGATCCATAGCAATTATGCATTAATTCCTTCGTCCATGAGTCATTATGTGAGTCAAGAGCATTCAGTGATGACATAGAATCAGTAATGATGATAGAATCAAACTTAGTGTTATAAGTTAGCTTTAGCACCAGTAGGATTGCAAACAATTCAGTCTGCAGTGTAGATGCCCAGTTGTTAATTCTTATGCCTAGTTCAACAAGTTTATTACCAGCATGCGGTCAACCGTGTTTCCAATTGGGCCAATTGAGTTTAAATTTTCTAGTACAAAAACTCACCAAATTACTTTCACTAGACATTCTGATCATCCATTGTACCAATATGGCTCACGTATCCCAGAAAGTGATACGGTCAGGTTTCTCGGCCTTCGGTTTGACACTCGGTTATCCTGGAAACCTCACATTACCTCTCTGAAGACAACTTGTCATAGCCAGCTGAACCTCCTTAAAACCCTCGCTCATCTTTCATGGGGAGCTGATCGTAGAACTCTCCTTCGACTACATTCAGCCCTAATTTTATCGAAGCTTAATTATGGCTACCAGATATATTCAGTGGCCTCTCCTGCAAGTCTTTCTAGCCTTAATCCCACCCATCACCAGGGATTATGTTTATACCTTGGTGCTTTTCGCTCTTCACCGGTTTAGAGGCGAATATTCCATCCTTGACCGATCGCCGTGATGCTCATTACCTTCGCTATTATGTTCAATCTCATGACCTCCGCAATCCTTCCATATATAGGATGGTAATGGATGTTAGTAGAAGTTCCTTATTTGTTCGCTGCCCCTGTTTACTCTGTCCCTTTTCTCTTCGTCTACATTCCCTCTTGTGTTCTCTTCAGTTGCCACGTTTCTATGTTCATGAAGCATCTAACTTTTCCCTTCCCCCTTGGGAAGTTCCGACGATTCGTGTCTGCTCTTCCCCACTGTCATGCGTGAAAGCCCAAATACCTACGGTTGCTTCTTGCTCTCTTTTTCTTAATCACTTCCAGTCTCATTGTCATGCCATCGCAGTGCACACCAATGGTTCCAAGTCTTCTGGCGGTATCGGATTTGCAGCAGTGTTTCTAGGCAGCGTCGTACGAGAGCATTTATTAGCCTCGGTTATGCATTTTTACAGCTGACTTGTATGCAGTTCTCGTAGCACTTATCCGTATTGCATCTATGCCTGTGTCGGCATTTGTGGTAGTTTCAGACTTCCTTAGTGCTTTACAGGCTATACAAAAATTTGATTCACTTCATCTCCTGGTTTTTCGTATCCATCTTTTGTTACGCCGTATCTCTAGCAAGCACAGTTAGTTTAATATCTTTATTATGCACCCCATACCCATCCTGTGGGCGGTAGTCAAAAGATTACAGAGGTACGTAATGGGTCCAGGGACTGAGCCTCAAAGTTTTGATAGCTTGAGCAAGTTACAAAGGTAATGAACTCACAATTTACAAAGGTAATGAAATCACAATTTACAAAGGTAATGAACTCCAGGTAGGTCTGGCCACAATCATGACAAGTTACAAAGGTATTTACAGAATACAGAGGTACGTAATGGGTCCAGGGACTGGGCCCCCAAAGTTTTGATAGCTGAACTAGGTATAAAGGTAATGAACTCGCAAGTTGCAAAGGTAATGAATCCTGTAAGTATCGTTACTTACGTTTATACATGGCTACGATCATGAACAAATTATAGAGTAATAAGCAATTCACACTTCCACACCCGGTCATAACTGTAATGAGTTATTGGTGCAAATATTGATTGTAGCAAGCATAAAGATCTTGTTTTTGCTGGGTCCCCGATCATGTTGACGTACAGGGGAATGAACAGGCAGACACTGCTTTGCAGTCAGCAGTACATGACCTCCCAGTTTCATATAGAGGTGTTCCGTTCACAGAATATTTTGCTGTGATTTATACCCACCTTCGCAACCAGTCTGATCTGCTACATAACAAATTGTATTCTATTAAACCAAGTATAGGTTTCTGGCCGTCTTCTTGTCATTAGTGTCGAGGTTGGAAGACTACACTCTCCCGTCTTCACATTGACCACACTCGTCTTACTCACGGGTATCTCATGGAGAGGCGCCCTGTTCCACTCCGTGAGAATTGTCAGGTTCCAGTTTCTGTTAGCTATATTCTGTTGGACTGCCCACTCTATCAACGAGCACACAGAATTTACCTCCGACGTCGTCACTGCTCTACTGCCCTTACTTTACCTCCCCTTCTTGCTGATGGACCCTCCTTTAACCCAGACTCTCTCATTGACCTTTTGACACCAACTGATTTACTGCACAAACTTTGATGATGATGCTTCTAGCACTCCTCACACCCCTTTCTACCTCTCCCTCTTGTTACCCAATACCCCTGCACCCTTCCCTGCCCTGCTGTGCTGTATGACCCTTGTAGGTTTAGAGCTTTTCTCTTTATTATAATAAAATAATTCCCTGGGACTGAATCTGATTACTTCAAATTCCTCTTGGAGTTGATTAACTCCAACTGGTTTAGCGCTTCCCTTCCATGAATGTAATTATAATAATATAATCTTGATCTATCTGTACTTGTTAGCCTTCCCTGTTACCACCAGCCTGACTGGAAAGAGACAGAAAAACGCGATTATCTGACGAAGGATCGAGTAGAATGACTCAGGCGAGCTTAGTGCTGACTTACCGTCAGGAAGTTGTTCCAGTGAGTGCTGGAGGTGAACCTGTGATGGCGCCCTCAGGTAGTTCTTGTTCACTACCTCCCACACCTCTGTGTCTTGTGTTGCACCCACTAGCTTACCCTGGGGGTCTGCAACACACACACAATATCACACATGCTCTCACACTGAAGGATAGAATAAAATGGTGAGAATAATGTATTTTGTACATGAATGGTATATAAGACCGACAAGATGAAAATTAGATACATATGCAACATCTGGGTATCTTTATTGTAGACGTTTCACCATCCAGTGGCTTTTTCAATACAAATTCTAAGACGTAACTTGAATACAGTAGAACTATATACAAAAGATGAGGTAATCAGTCCCTCAACTTTGGAGTTGGTGTCCTAGAATTTGTATTGATACAGCCACTGGATGGCGAAACGTCTTTAATAAGATACCAAGATGTTGCAAATGTGTTTAATTTTCATAATGTACTTTGTATACAGTTATTAAAGCAGGATACATCCGCATTAAATATACCAAAGATGAGTCAACACGAGTGTATCTCTCCTCTAAAACACACAATCACTCACGATTTAGAAAAAAAATTACATAATAAAATCATGTACGTCAGAAAAGAGGGCAGCTAGCAATAGTCAGTTTAGAATTTGGTACACAGATGCACGCACATACAACAGAGTAACTGGAATACTGAACTAGAGAATTATGTTTAGAACAGTCTGCTGTATGACCCTGGTGGATTTAGCTCTTAGTTTTGATTATAATAATGATGTTTAGAACAATATGGATAAATTTAGGTGAGTAGAATAAAATTGTTGAACCCGGAATAATAAAGCAGGGTTGTGAAGAGGTTGTAATAAAATAGCTAGAGTATGGTAGTTGACTAGCCTGAGGCTTTATAACTTTACGGGTTTAGCGTCTTTACCCCAAATACAATAGAGAATAATAATTTATATTAGCTTTATGCAGAGTAATCGCAAATGAATAGTTACAAATAGATGTCATAGGAACTAAAGAAAGGAGACTGAATAAAACAAGCTAGGTAGAACAATAGAATAAGCTGAATAACGCAAGCTGGGGAGCCAGATGGATGCACAGGTTATGCACTCTGGATAGAATGTCTCAGTGACGTGTTATCACAGGTAGCTTGCGTCCAGTGCCCTCACCTGCTCTCTTCCTACCTTCAGCCCCATTTGCAACCACCATGCGTGTTCCTGTGATGGCATGCGACACTGGAGTTTACCTGGAGTTTACCTGGAGAGAGTTCTGGGGGTCAACGCCCCCGCGGGCCGGTCTGTGACCAGGCCTCCTGGTGGATCAGAGCCTGATCAACACTTGTGTCAGGGTTTGCTTGTGTCAGGGATGTCGTGACTGAAAACACTAAGTTTTGTTCCTATGCTTTTATTGTACATGGAGACCTATATACTCCCGGCTCACCCCCATTTGGAAGTTGAGCCAACCCCCCCTCCCTCATGGATATGTGGCCCGTCAGTGGGTGATATGGCTCTTTGGTAAGAGAACAAAATTAAACGGGAGCTTCACTTTCCATTCCTTGTGGGACCAGGTTCTCCTTGTCTGCGTACAAATTTCCAAGTAGGCTGACATCCTGTGTAAAGTGCATCGTTGTATGTCGCCATTCCTAATTTAATGTTACCTGGAGTTTACCTGGAGAGAGTTTCGGGGGTCAACGCCCCCGCGGCCCGGTCTGTGACCAGGCCTCCTGGTGGATCAGCGCCTGATCAACCAGGCTGTTGCTGCTGGCTGCACGCAAACCAACGTACGAGCCACAGCCCGGCTGATCAGGAACTGACTTTAGTGTTATGGGACAATTGTTCTCCGTCGTATGATCTTCCTAACACGATCTTCTGAGAAATGCGGAGAATTGTATGATGTTTGCAGCCAACTCTAATTCCTCCTTATCCTCACTAGGTGTCCCGTAGCTCGATCGCTAGCGCACTCATATTACACTCTGAGGTCCGGAGTTCGAATCTCCGGTACGGCTGGATAACATTAGGACGTGTTTGCATAAGACACCTGCTGTCCCTGTTCACCCATCAGTGTAAAATGGGTACCTGGGTGTTAGTGGACTGGTGTGGGTCGCATCCTGGGACAAAACTGACTTAATTTGCCCGAAATGCTCTGCATAACAAGCGGCTTTCTGTATAGTAGTATGTCATTGATGTCAGCTAGGACTGTTTACCTTATACATGTACTTTTAGAAATAAAGAAATATTATTATAATTATTTGTTCTTCCTGCTCTTGATCACTGTTGTTTTTCCAGCAACGAGACCTAACTCGTATTTAACCGTTACTTCCTCCCTGCAGCTGTATATTTGGCGGCACAGTTATTGACAGTTAAATAGCTGTTGCCAACTCTGGACAGTGTCAAACCTACTGGTAGTTTGGCCATCCGGCAAAATATTGCTGTTCTGCCCGGGTGCCTCATTTGCATAGTAAAAGCTCATAATAATCCTGTTTGCATTCTCTGCATCGATGTCTTAGTTGAAGAATTCATTTTTATTTGTATGTCATGTAGTCAGACTGTCTCTCGTTCCTGGCAAAGAAGACTTTTTTTTTTTTTTGACTTGTTTCATACGCTCACCTGACTCATCATGCTGACCCTTCACTGCTGCCTTCCACTTCTTTCTCTCTACATACACATTTCCAAACGTACTTGCAACACTCCTACATTTTCTGCTCCCAAGTCTTTCTATTTGGATTTGGTCTGTCCCCTCTCTGTGGTGGAGGTTCTCGCGTTCTGTCCCTCCGTCACACAGCTTTATAGTAGGAACAAATGTACCTCTTCCTCCATATCTAATGTTCATTTTGAGACCGCCAAACCTCCGAAAATTCTGATATCTAAAGGATTATGCTACTTATTGGTATAACCGTCTGGTGTTTACCTGGAGTTTACCTGGAGAGAGTTCCGGGGGTCAACGCCTCCGCGGCCCAGTCTGTGACCAGGCCTCATGGTGGATCAGGGCTTGATCAACCAGGCTGTTACTGCTGGCTGCACGCAATCCGACTTACGAACCACAGCCCGGCTGGTCAGGTACTGACTTTAGGTGCTTGTCCAGTGCCTGCTTGAAGACAGCCAGGGGTCTATTAGTAATCCCCTTTATGTATGCTGGAAGCAGCTGAACAGTCTCGGGCCCCTGATACTTATTGTGTTGTCTCTTAACGTGCTAGTGACACCCCTGCTTTTCATCGGGGGGATGTTTCATCGTCTGCCGAGTCTTCTGCTTTAGTAAGGAGTGATTTTCGTGTGCAAGTTCGGTACTAGTCCCTCTAGGATTTTCCAGGTGTATATAATCGTGTATCTCTACCACCTGCGTTTCAGGGAGTACAGGTTCAGGAACTTCAAGCGTTACAGTAATTGATGTGTTTTATGTCAGTTATGCGCGCCGTGAAGGCTCTCTCTACATTTTCTAGGTCAGCAATTTCACCTGCCTTGAAAGGTGCTGTTAGTGTGCAGCAATATTCCAGCCTAGATAGAACAAGCGACCTGAAGAGTGTCATCATGGGCTTGGCATCCCTAGTTTTGAAGTTTCTCATTATCCATCCTGTCATTTTTCTAGCAGTTGTGATTGACACAATGTTATGGTGCTTGAAGGTGAGATCCTCCGACATGATCACTCCCAGATTTTTGACGTTAGTTTTTCGCTCTACTGTGTGGTTGGAATTTGTTTTATATTCTGATAAAGTTTTAATTTCCTCAAATTTACCATATCGGAGTAACTGAAATTTCTCATCGTTAATGTGTTGTCCTACACTTTACACCAATCCCTGAGTGCACACCTCTGTGTCATTTATCATATATTGCATAGTCACTGATTTCCCGACTTTCCTATTTTGCAATGTTGTCTTTCTCTACCTGTGTGATGGAGACAACTGATGACGTTACTGTTTATTGAGAGATCTCCGCTCCAGCACTCTCTCACAAACAACTATGTCCAGACCTTTGGTCTTTCTGAGGATTCATTTTTTTTTTACAATCAATCGACTTTTACTCTAATGCATCATATAACGTGTACTTCTGTTTTCTAGTGCCGATATTCCCTTCACTCGACGTATTGCTCATACAATATAAGCTGTATCAGTTCACTTTTTCTAATTATAATATTAGATAAGCTGTAAGTATATTCAGGTATTTTAAAACTAGACTGTGTGAATATAGGAGTCTATCATCGGGAAGTCTCACAGTTATGACAGAACCTCACTTAGCCAATACAATTCATTCATAAAGCCCAGATGATTTTAAAGTAAAGCCAAAGCAAGGAATACTTTGGACTTAATAATGCTAGGGAGTTTACAAATTAAAAATAAAACCTGGACTCATTGACAACGATTTTACTATTTGCTTAGTCTCAAATAACTTTAGTTTACCCTCAGTTTCTGCTGTGTATCTTATGGATCTTCAGATTAATGTATGTTCTGAATGTACAGTAATTTTTAAAATGCAATAAAGAACTGTAATGGTTTGATGGGGCACAAATAAACAAAAGCTGTCGTCGGTGATGCCCCTTAGGATGCATCTACGGTAGCATTGGTACTGGGGAGAAGGTAACCATTAGAATGGGGTATGGCTTACCCGTCCTTATAGGCCCTCACGGCCTTTTATACACATGCGTGTTTTACAGATGGTACCTGGAGAGGGTTTCTGGGGTCAACGCCCCCGCGCTTTGGTCTGAGACCAGGCCTCATGGTGGATCAGGGTCTGATCAATCAGTCTGTTACTCCAGACGGCACGTAAGCTGACGTACGAACCACAGCCCGGTAGGTCAAATGTCTTTCCGGCTGTTGGCATCCCTCACTTTAAAAACCTGGCCTCTTCAAGGGGGGCTCCTTGTCGTGGTGAAGAGGCTCTTGGTCTGAGGAATTAGACCTGTCGGTCTCCTTCCTCAGACCGAACCTAATTACCCCCCAATCCCCCCTTCCCTATCGCATCCTTCCCTTTTTCTTTTCCTCCTCCTCCCCATCCCTCCCTTTTGCCCTTCCTCTTTTTGGCCTTTAGGATTTTTCCCACAGGCGCACTAGTTCCTAGGTAGGGGAAAGGGTACCGGGGTCCATCCCATTCCGTTGAGGTTCTTGGCAGTGGCGTAGTTTGCCGTGAAATCTGGA